CAAACAGCCGAATCTTTCAAGATGCTCCAGGAGTCACATTTCAGTGGTTAGCACCTAGGAAAAGGTGGAACTGGTCATCTGGTGGTTCAGCTGCAACAGCGGGGAGCTCGGGACAGAAGATGGATTGTTCCTGGAATGAAGCTAGCAAGGCTGGCTGATTTTTTCAGCACAATAAATGAATTGAGCAGGCTGAAGGCAAGGTGGAAAGACACAGAGCTGATGTAGAAAACCACTAGCACTTCTTCCAAGACGCTCCTGAAGCCCGGTCTTCTAGGCACTGATCTTCCTGGCAACTCTGTGCAAGGGAGCAAGGCTACAGCCAGACACTGCATTTTAGCACGACGTTGGGCTAGCAAAGACATCCAACTATTTCCTCTTTCTCTTCCCTCCCTTTTAATAATTAGAGGAGATCTATTATCTACACTAGCTCATTGCTTACTGAAAGACAAATTGATTTACTTCCGAGCGAATGAATTAAATGCACTATGTCTAATCTGATTTACATATAAAATACTAATAGGTCTATTAAAGTCAAATAAATGTAAGGATACACACTTCATAGTTTTGACTAACCCTGTGAGGAGGACTTGTATAAATACCTTGGAACTTCAGTGTGTTCTTTACCCCTGACATACTACTAGCAGGAAGGAATGAAGAGAAATTAAAGACTTGATAAATAGAAATCGTCATCTCTGCTACTTGTATGAAAAGGGAGGGTTTTATCGCTGTGAGTCAGAAATAGTATCCAAACAAGAGATGATATAATGCAATACAGGAGAAACATTCTGAGAGAAAAAGCTTGGCTATGAACATGAGGTATTGTATGTAGCATAATATTTCTCATAATAGAAATTCTACATTATATATTATTAGTATAATTATATATTATTAGTATTTCCTTATATTGTAAAGCACAGTACTACAGACAGATGGAGTCCAGCCCATGCAGCTGTAGTGTGTAACACACATCATTTGGAAATGCTTAGCACTAAGCTTCGACATAAATAACCTTCAGCTGTTTGTCAGATACCAAAAGGGCTGAAGTGCAGCAGCCCTGGCAGCGTTCAAAGCTTTTCTTTAAAGAGTTTCATTGCTAATTCTAAGAACTCCTGCTTCATTTTTATTGAATTTTCATTTGGTTGATTCTAGGAACTCCTGCTTCCTTTTAAAGATTTCTTTTAAATCTCCTCCCCCTCTCACACATACACACAGATTTTCAGTTTTCCCCACTTATAGTGGGGAAAAAAAGGTAATATACTACTATTTTCAGTGCTCCTGTTGAGCTTCTGGTTTCACATCAAACTTTCAAGTCTTTAGTAAAGAAATAACTAGAATCTGAGCCTGTCAATGCAAGAAGAAAGGGTTGGTGACCTGAAACGTTCATATTTTGGCAAAGCAGCACTGCTGGGTGTCAATTCTACAGTGAGGCCCAACTGTGATTCAGTGCATGGTGCATTTCTATGGGAAATTTAGGTTTGTAGCTGTGCCCCGGCCATACAGCCCCGAACAAGAGCGCCTACCAGCGCACAGCAGAGTAGCAAGCCTGGGTAGGGCCCCTTCTGCATCTCTCAGAAAGCAAAGTACATTGTTTGCTTGAACTTCAACAGGACTTAAATGGTTAAACCTCACTGTGCTCTGCCAGAAAAAAATCTCCTCAAATAGCACTTTATTGAGCCCCTCAAAATAAAGAATAGCAGCGCATTTGAGGATGGGAAATTTTGCTGCTATTTTTCAAAGATTTCCAGCAGAAAAAGACTTCTGGCACTGTTCCTATTTATGGTTTCTTGCTTATCCTCATTGTGGGAACACAGATTTCCGATATCTATATTCTTCATCCACTTTAAGGGTATAGTCAGACTTGTTCTTGCTAGCTCAGGCTATAAAGATACTGTACCTAGATGCTCTCCACCTCTCCCTGAAAAGACGAGCTGCACCATAGGAAAATAAATGTAAGAAGCAGGATAGGGAATAGGTACAAGTGGAACGGTGCCAACAGACCTGACAGGGCTGCAACCTCCTCTCTCAGGTAAATCTCATCAGTGGATGTTCAGAACAGTCAGGAGTTGTGATGTGCTAACGCAAAAAAGCTACAGCTGGTGCCATGATCTCAGTGAGCTGTAAGTCACCCCAGAAACCTATACAAATTAGGAGACTGACATCCAGATCCTCACCCTGATGCTTTAATCTTGGTATTCTGGCTGATAGACACAGTCATTAAAGAAATTGCCAGCTTCCATCTCACAGGATGCCACTATTAGCCTGGAGGTACTCTGAAAAATACTTTAGTTAATATAACTCAAGGAACAGCTCAAGGAACAGCCTTATACTGTAATGCAATTCTGTAGAAACACGATAAACTTCAGAGAGCTCAAGGCACTAAATTTGGGTCATTTACACTGCTTTCAATGAACGCCTCTCGATCTGCTCAGAAATAAGCTTCAGCAAGTGAGCAGGTTAGGTTTAAGGAGGATGTACTTCGTAGGCCAAGGCTATGGTTAACTTGCTTGGCAGGTGTCACCGCTGCAGAGGGAGATGCCCTGTTTCGCTGTAGCCTTTTTCCAACATATCCAGCACTAGGAGCTCGCTAAAAACGCTTTCACATGCTGCAGCTGATGGCATGAGGAACACAGGCCATGAGAAAGGGGCAGTATTTTGCAGGTGCTGCTGGAGACCCCCAGCATAGGAGCTCACTAAAAACGCTTTCACACGCAGCAGCTAATGGCATGAGGAACACAGGCCGTCAGTATTTTGCAGGTGCTGCTGGAGACCCTTTCCCAGGTGAGCCCTGGGGCTCCGTGCCTATTAAGAAGTAACTCTAGCTCTTTCAGTGGGGGCTGGTTGAAGCTGATTCATTTGCTCGTCCCATCCTCAGGAGAAGGCAGGGGGACCAGCAGCAGCAGTTGCCTCCCCACGTGGTGACCTAAGTGGCTGGGGTTAAATCAGCCCAAGTCCCCTTCTATAGCAAGGGAGACAAGGTGAAAAAGAGGCCTCAGAAGACTTGACTTGATCCAAGGGACCTGGCAAACCAGGGCAGAGCCAACACTGAAATGCAGTCTTCACTCAGACAGGTTGTGCCTTTTCCTGTGCTCTGCTAGACTTACACCATTTAACCTGGTGAGGAGGTTTTGTGTTCAGGACGAGTGCCTGACTGCAGCTCCCAGCAGCCTCTGGTGAAGCAGAGCAGCTCTCTGCTGAAGGCAAGCAGCACACAGCACTGCTGGAAGAGGAGATGGACCAAACTTAGCACTGTCGTGCTTAACCCTGCACAGAAGAACCCTCCTACCTGCATAAAGCAGCACTGCCTCCAAGAGGTCTTCAGAAAGATCTGCCACTCTATGGCTGTTTGGATGCAACCCAA